ACCGTAAGGAGACCGGAGGAGCGGAGTGGATCAAGAGTTCCGAAATTCCAACACATGTCTCACAACCTGATAACAGGCTACTGTATTATCCACAATTCACACTTGGGGAAGTCCCAGATAATGCAGTAGCACACTAACTGGGGGGGGGGGGGATATGCACTACCTTAACTACCTCCTTCAGGTTTCAAAAAAACACTACATCTACACTCAGGCTTAAGGGGATTTATGTTGCATCACAAGTAAAAATAGTATATTGTCACAGTTCAGGGGATTGCAATACTTCTGAGATAATGAGGATAAAGCAGTGAAAAATTGCCACTGAAACTCAAAAAAAATTTATGCAAAAAGTGAGACTAGAGATGATAGGTACAATTGTCAATGCCTCATACTTCATGCATCATTATCTTGACACATGTCTGAATTGACACCATAAGCCTTCCTGATCAAAGCAGCTCAACCAAACCCACACCTGCAAATGAGTGAGTCTTGTGGAATATTATTTGCATATCAGTCCTCAGCAGTAAGTTTGGCCTTGAAATTTGAAATGTTTGAAGGGGTGACAGAATTGAATTGGCATTGGAGCTATTTCCAAATCTAAATATGTTTTGTTCTTGAAGATATCACTACAAGCAATACCCATTTTGCCCCAAAAATAAATGGCAATTTGGGTGGGGGAAAATGGATCAATTTTCTGGCACTTTTTTCCAAAATGCCTCAGAAGTAGAAATTAGGCTAAACTGAGCTATTTTAGCCCAGAGATAGAAATTCATCAAACATTCCAAAATGAATTTTTAGCTCATTTGAGACATTTTTATTTTTTTGGCTAAAATAGCTCATTTTAGCCTAATTTTTTACTCCTGAGGCATCTTGTAAAAAAAGTGCCAGAAAATTGATCTATTTTCCACCATCCAAATTGCCATTTTTCCTTGGGGCAAAATCAGTATTGTTTGTAGTGTATAGCATTTCTTACATGCGGGGTTGAAAGAATAAAACCAGCTGAAGATTTGTTGCAGAGCTTGTTTTCTGAAAGGTTTTCACACCATGGCCTCTTATCTAAGGTTCATTTTTTGATACAAGAGCACAATTAAATGTCTCCTTATGTCAAGATTATACAGTGAAAGTGGGTATAAGATTACCATACTGGTTTGGAGAAAACACAAGCAGCATTATCTTCATGCCTATGCTTCAGTTTTGCCACCAGAAAGGGTGGGAATCCTGGGATCATAAATGAGCATTGAATATCTGGATTTTTCCAACAATCCACACCCCTCCCTGATTAATCATCTGCTACTCTCACTTTAAGAAAATAATAAGCAGCTCAGGACAACCCCAGCCATGCTATTGCAAAGTATATTATGTGCCTTCTATCTCTTAAATTTCTATGGAACTTCAGCACATCCAAAACCATATCCAAAGGATATAGAAAACAGAGGACTTGATCAAGGTGATGCAGTAGTTAATCAACTTCACCTCCTACACAAGAGAATGGAAGGGAGTTCCAAAGGTATGTCTACATTCCCAAGGATTTTTATTCCACTATATGAATTCAATCTCAGCATCATTGGCTGTTGTGAGGGTATCCCAGTTTAACTTTGATGCAATCAATCAATTTAACCTTCATTGCATCTCAACCAATGAAATATCAGTCCAAGGCCTGTCTCATATTCATATTTATTTAATTGGTTGCAATTTAGCCAAGTTCAAATTGGTAGAGTTTATCCCATTTGAGCTGGGATAAGCTCAACCCAGCCAATATATATAATTTGGCAATGATCTTCTTCTGTCTATCAAGAAATTAAAATGGATCAATGCTGAGATTTAAATTTCTGAATTGATTTCCAACCTGTAAAAAAACTTGCAAAATTTCTATCAATTTGAAATTTTGATTCCCACTACACAGGAAAGCTTGAAGCAATTGATGATTTCAAACGTAAGCTTTATCCAAAAATTCAAAACCCACTGGATTAAATTTTTGAGCTAATTTATTCTGTTTTTTTTTTAAAAAAAAAAGACCAATTTAATCAAAGAATGGATTCCAGAATCAAACAGACTCACACAGAATTTGAAAAGATACGTGAATAAAGTGATAAAGAATTCAGCAAACAATCAAGAGAACTTGAAGATAAGTTTCAGCATCATATGGCAGATTGGAAATCAAATTGGGAAAAATCATCTTGTAATCTTGAATAATTTGAGCATTGTTTATCCTCCAAATAATAAACCACAAATGTGCTTTCAAAATATAGATTAACATATTTTTTCAAAAGAATCTGATTTTTTTTTGAGAAGAAAAATCAGCCCATTATATCTATTTGTGAATCTGTCTTTGGAATTCTATGATCAATTTTTGCAAGTGTTCTCACAATTTTTTTTTCCTTTCCAATGATTATTGAATGTCATTCTGGGCCAGGTCAAATGAGCACCATCTTTTGATCACATGCACACAATTTCTGGAGTGAGCACTTCTAGTTTGACACTCCAACAGACATTTGTGTGACCAACCAGTTCACTCCAAAGTAGAGATCGTTTGTTCAGACCTGGGTACCTGTTTGTACCTAGGTAACTGTTCATTTTTTCAAGAAAATAGATACTGTGTACCGCACCAGGCACCTCCCAGCGGGTACCAGCGGTACTTGTGGCAGGTACCGCGGGTACCTCCCCTCTCTTTTTCACTTAGTTCCACTAGCTATCTCAACATTACTTCATATCCTGTACTAGATATGTGGTAAAATCAAACTGGATGTGCTGTTTTTGTTTACTTCTTCACACTATTTTAACAAAAAAAGGAAAAAAATATTGCATATCCAGTTTTTTTACTGCATATCCAGCACTAGATATGAAGTACTGTTGAGAGTGTATAGTCAATTTTTTCATATTTATTATAAAATATGCAGCCCTCCCACCCACCCTATTTTAGGGAAGTGGGGTGGTACCGGTGGTACCTCCTGTTTTTTTTTCCCAAAAATAGACACCTGAAACCTCCTGGCAGGTGTGCAGCGGGTGCCAGAGGTACCCCCAAGCGGTACTAGGTACCTGCAAGGAGTACCACAGAACAATTTCTACTCAAAAGCTTGTTAATTTTGGAGTGCTCCACTGTTCCCTCTAGTTCCTTTGGGGAAAAAATTCTCAAGCAAAATTGTTTGTAACCTTTTTCTGGCTGTAAATAGAGTGTCTCAATGTTCAGAAGAATGCTTCCTGGAATTCATTACTAGGGTTATTCACACTCAGAATTAGGTCAACTTTGTCAACACTTAACAGCATGGGGAATATCCAAAAACGGATCAACACAGATGAAGAATTTGTTGAGGGAAACCAGGTGACCAAAACTTGGAGATTAGGCCAGACAGGCCAAGACTCACAATGTGCTAAAAACAAGTGAGAAAGTAAGAAAGAGGAAATGAAGAGAGAAATGTTAAAGGTGCTATTTATTTCAGTAAGGAAAAGGAAATTAAGAGATCAGAACTGGTCAAGGTGACTTCAGACTAGCTACATGCAGGTATCTCAACAGATGTCTTCACCTTTCAAACAGCCCTTGGTTTGATTATCAAGACAACAGATGAATAAATTATGTGTGGTGGTTCGAAAGCCAGAAGGGAACTAATAGACCAGACCCAGTTTCATTCTACCAAACCTAGACCTGCCAAGGAAGCCATGTTGCTGCTGCTTCAGGATCCAACACATCCAATCTTCCTCAAGATTGTGCAAGATTTAATCCAACTTGACAAGCTGATTTTAACTGGACACATGTCCAAGCAAAGGGTGCAAATCAACATACACACACGTCCAGGAAAAAGTGTACTTGGCCAAGGCACAAGCACCATTAATTGGCTCATGGCCAAGCTTGGGGACAGTTGGGGAAAAATTCTGGTTTAGCCAATCTCCAAGCTATAAGTATACCCGTAACCCAACGCTGCCACAGATACGGTATCTGCCCGTATCTGCCATGTATCACTATGTATCTGAGCCCCAATAAAAAAAAACTATCTGACCAATCTGCTTTTATTTGCAAGGAGATTCAACAAATTTGGTTTTTGGCCATGCAGCTTTGCAGAATTCTCCATGATACACACAGAGTATTGTATCTGTGGCAGTGTTGGTATACCACACACCTCAATGCTCAAGTGAGTGAAAAAATTCCAATGGGAAAGGGTAGGCTGTGTTCTTGCTACTTCTGTAGCTGGTTGGTGATCATGGTGGCTGGCTTGCAGTATCCTTTCCACCAGTCAAAATTCAAAGAGAGAATGTTGATAAAAATCCAAGGTCTTTCCTTGAGCCTGATCAGGTGAGGAAATAGATTTTTCTGCAAGTATCCCCTTCTTCACAGGAAATTGAGCTTGGCAGACACAGATGTAAAGCTATTCAATATTGCAAGCCACCATTTTCTCATATGGATGAGTTGGCTTCTTTCCTGCGGCCCACACGCGTAGCGTTAGCGGTGTCGTGGCAGAATTCCGCTACGCTACGCTAATCGCTAACAGCGATTCCGCTGCGTTACGCTACACTAACTGCTACGGTTAGTGTAGCGGCCCACTGTTGATCTGACAATATAAAAGGCCACATCATTTGTTTGATTCCTAAGCTCAACTTCAACTTTAGTCCCATTCCAACTACTTAAGCGTACTTTGAATATTCCGAAACCCAGCTCTTGATCTCAATCCCCAAGAACTAGCTGATTCACTTTCTGTTTGGTTTATGACTGCACAGAAGAAAAAAAAAAACAGTTTACAAGCCTTGTTTGTTAATGTTTGGTTGGTTGGTTGGAATGCAATCATCTGCAGATTTGATTTTGATTGAAAGGTGTGGAATGAATGAATTAAGACAACTATGGTTAAAAAAAACATCAACAACAAGAAGAATAAGGACATGGTAGAAAGTATATTCTTTTGAGCTGAGAGGTATTATGAGAGGTTGAATAGTTGTTGAAGGGTTGGAGAGTATAAAAGAGTCACTTGAAACAACTGTTTTGGTTTAGTCCAGGCTGATTTTTTTATCTCTGATCTCTACTCTGAATCTTTTCTATTCTTGATCTTCTTCAGGGTTGGAGGATTGGTCTCTAACTTGTTATTGTCGATCCATTCAACCGGAGACTCTTTCTCTCTGTTCTTGTTTTTGAGCTGTTGATTATCGGTGTTGATGGTCTGGTGATTCGAGTCGAGATGATGAGCATGTTCTTGCTGTACTTCTATTCTAGATCTGTTACCTGATCGTCTCTCGTTCGTCTCTTGTTCTTCTTTTTCTTTTCCTTCGTACCAGTTTCTTCAACTCCTTCGTCTAGAGTCGAATCGGTTGTCTTCCGTCTCTTCTGTTTCTTCTTCTTCTTCTCCTTTGAACCGGTTTCTTCAACTCCATCCTCTTTGGTAGCCTCGCTAGTCTTTCGTTTCTTGTTCTTCTTCTTCTGTTTGGAATCAGTTTCAAGCGGTGTAGCTTGTTCCGTATTAGTAGTGGTAGTAGTAGACTTCCGTTTCTTGGATGGGGGTGATTCTTGGTCAGTTTTGCGTTTAGAGCTCTTCTTTTGAGTTGATTCTTCTAGTTGTTGTTGTTGTGAATCTTCTTCTTGATTTGGTTCGTCTTCTGTTGTAACTGCTGTCTCTTGTTCTTCTTCTTCTTCTGAGATCGTTCCTTGGATCGTTTTCCCTCTAATGAATCGTCTATAGAGTTCTAGCCTCCCAGCCTTCTGCTTGGCGAGATCGATAGCATGGATGTTGAGGTTCTATGTAAAGGTCTCGACGTGAGTATTGTATATTGTAGCTGGGTAAGTGTAATGATTAGTTTTAGCTTAACTGAGTTTGTTGTTGTTTTGGTTGTTGTTGTTTTTGGTTGATCTAGTTTGGAAGCGATCTGTGTGAATAGGTCGTCCCACCAAGGGTGGCTGGTCTCCCTGTCCTTGCCGATGCCGAAATGGTTCTTCTTCTGGATGGCTGTTATTGGCTTTGCTCGGCTGGTCGTCGTGAATCCGTTTCCTGGGCCACTCCAACCTTGCTTGCTGAGGTAGTTGGTTGGGTTGAATACCATGATGACTTGGCGGTTTTGTTGTTGTTGATGATGATGATGATGTGGTTGTTGTTGTTGTTATGGTTCTTGGTGGGGTTTTCTGGTTGGATTGTTGTTGTGGGAACCAAGAAGAGATAAAATCACAGCCTCCATCAAGTCTTTAAATTGCTGTGAGCGTCCCATCAAAAACCAAGAACTCACAAAAAAACAAAAAACAACCAAGAATGATGAGAAGAACAAGATCACTAACAACAACAGCAACAACATCGACAGCAGTAGTAGGAGCAGTCAAGGATGAGGCATGCTTCGTAGAACCCACCAGCTACCCCAACATCAAATTACCAGGACCAGCAGATCAGGAAAAAGAAGAAGAAACCACCACACCGGCAGACCAAGATCATAATCAATCCTCCAAACGAATCGACTTCCTCAGCCAACTACCCACCGAACTGGCACTCTACATCCTCCTCAAGCTGGCCATCGAGCACCAGACCATCCACCTCCTCAACTGTCGAGCAGTCTCAACCAACTGGAAAGGCCTGGCTGAGGACAACCTGATCTGGAAACAGAGCTACCTCACCCAGCCACACTGGAAAATCAACCACAACATCAACACCACTACTACCCCTAAAACTACGCACATCCAACGAAGACTCAGTCAACTGATCGGATCACCCAACTCACTCATCACCCCATCAGCATCATCTTCATCAAAATCAATACCATCACTCCCCGAACTTAATTGGCTCAAACTCTTTCGCGATAGATCCATCTTGGACTCCAGGTGGAGCGATGGCACCCAAGTCTCCAAGAAACTCAAAGGACATAAGGACTCGGTCTACTGTCTACAGATGCACGACCAACAGATCATCACTGGCTCAGTAAGCTGAACTTTTCTTTTCATACAAACTAACTAAACCAAACTGACCCTTATCTATATCAGAGGGACAGGACGATCAAGGTCTGGGATACGCGCACAAGAGAGTGTCAGAGGACCCTAGTAGGCCACAAGGGGAGTGTGCTATGTGTGCGCTTCGACGAGCAGGTCCTCCTATCAGGCTCGTCGGACAGCAGCGTGTTTGTGTGGGACAAGGCCTGCTGGACCGTCGTCATCGAGCTCGTCGGCCATCGCTCCGGGGTCCTCGACCTCGGCCTCACTCCGACCGCCTTCGTCAGCTGCTCCAAGGACACCACCATCAAGGTCTGGGCGAGGCCCGATGGCGCACTCCTCCGGACGATCTCCGGCCATGCTGGCCCCGTCAACGCACTCGAACTCTCCCTCTTGCCCCTCCACACCCTGCTCGGAAATCAGCCCTCTCCCTCTAGTTCTTCTAACAGTAAGGCCTTACTCTCAGCCTCCGGCGACTCCTCCATGAAACTCTGGGACCTCGACTCGGGCAAACTGATCCGGACCTTTGAGGGCCATCTCCGAGGCCTGGCCTGTCTCAAACTGGTCGAAGAGACCCGCCAGATCATCACGGGCTCGAACGACGAAACCATCAAGATCTGGAACTTGATCACCTCCCAATGTCTCCGCACCCTCCTCGGCCATTCCGGCCTCGTCCGTTCTCTCGACTTCTCCCTCCCCCACAATCGGCTCGTCTCCGGATCGTCAGTCCCCTCTTCTCTTCCCTCAAAATCCCATCGTAGACTCATTTTCCTCCTTTTCTGTTTATAGGTATGATAAAACGATCAAGGTCTGGGACCTGACCACTGGCCAGCTCCTCCTCGACTTCCGTAAAGGAGCCGACCGGAACCTAGTGTTTGATGTGAAGTTCAATCTGACGACTATTGTCTCCGTTGGCCCTCCCAACAGCGTCATGCTTGTACGTCTATTTTTTTTTTTCACCTCCTTGTGGTAACAAAATGATTGATCGCCTTTCTTGTCTTGTCTTGTTTTTTTAGTTGGACTTCGCTGATGGTCTCGAGGCCGATATGTTCCAATAACAACTTTCCGTGTCTATCAAGTCGGCTTACATCAAGGACATTATCCCAAAATCACTGGATTTCTGTACATACATATCCCCCCTTTTAATACTTGCTTTGTATACTTTATCAATCATCCCTTTCCCAGGTTGTTTTTTTGTTTCATTTCTTTGATCTAGAGCCTTTTCCATCAGACTACTTCATAATCTTTTTTTTTCTTTGCTCGTTTTTTTTTGCTCATACATTGCTCATGTTATTCTTTTCTCTTCGATCCTGCTGCTTTTTTTTTTCTCTCTCTCTCTTACTGCTTTGTTTTCAAAAAAAAAAAAAAAAAGAGAGACGAAAAAATAATAATTGTATGTATCATTTTGTTTGACTGGCTTCAAATTAATGTATCTTTTTTTTTGCTTGGAGTCGACTTGCTTTTAAATCAATGACTCTTCCTGAACTTGAGTCACCCACAGAAAACAAAAGAGGAAGAGAAAGAGAAAGAATGAGCAAGAATGAGAAAAAAAAGATAGATAGACAAAGAATGAAATTCAAAGAAAGAAAAAAATAGTATATCATCTTCCTTCCAAAGCCAGTCATGACAAAGCTGAAGAAGAAACAAGAATAGTTTGGTGGAAACATTCAAGGGGAGTGTTTGGATTTGATTGACAATGATCAATGTGATCATAATACTCAACCAGTCTTTGATTGAGTTGCTTGATTGAGTAAGTAGAGATATAGTTGAAAAAGCCTTGGGTGTGATTGGGGATTTGACCTCCACAACCTCTAGGAAAAAAGATCTGTTGGAAGGCAGGGTGATTGTCCAAAGAGTTGATGAATCTGTGGAGCCATTGCCAGACGACCTCTAGCTTTGAATGTCTTCTCCTATAACCGTGAGGATGTTTTCGTTTGTTGATGAGCGAAGAAGGGTCTGGAGAATATTGGAGGGCCATTTGGAATGCTTGATTGAGCAGAGTGGAGTTGATGTCTCTGGCTCTGGCCGTGGGACGATTGCCGGTGTGGTAGCCACAAAGGATCCTCCCAATCATGTCCACATAAAACAAAAACCATGTCAGGTTGCGGGTGAATAAGTGGCGGGAATGGTTTGGGACTCCTGAGACTTGCTCGACCACTTCAATGTTGGCCCTCTGTTTCCAAAACCGGAACCAATTTCTTGTAGAGCACCTGACCAAGGCACTAGGAGAAGGTGCTGGGATCCATGTGCACGGAAGGATTGTTTCTCAGGCGGAGCCAAAATAGTTTTTTGGCCCAGTCCGAAACAAAACTATTTTGGTTGCGGAATTTTATCATTGAGATCTGATAAAGTCTCTTTCCACCCGCCGCAACATAGCTCCCTCCATCCGCAACAATCTCATTAATCATTCCAAAACACAAACAAATTTACTAAATTATTATCATTTTAAATTTTTTCTCTCAAATTTCGACAACCACGTTCGTTTCGAAACTCATCACATACCTTCGTTTCGAAACTCACATCGACGCGACCACCTTCGTTCTCGAAACTCATCAAATCGACGAGACCTCATCGAGTCGATAACAATCACTTCCTTTTCAATCCATCTCACACTAAGATGGTCGATGCGAACACGACAAGGGCAACTTCAAAGAAGATCAAAGACTCCGCTTCATCAAAGAGGAGTGAAGACATCTCGGTAGCGAACGCCTTAGTACCATCGCTTAACGCTTCTAGCGGTGATCCCGAAGGAGTTATGCCTGTATCAAAGACGGCCGGAACCCCTAGTGGCAGTTCTTTACCTTCTATAGGCGTAGTTAGTAATGTGGTGGCAGGGAAGAAAAATACCCCGAATGGTAAGTTGCACTCTTGTTTATGTTTTTCAAACATCTTCTTTGAAGGACAGAGTGGTCAGAGCGTTGAAATTCGCATTTAAAATATCAATTTTATCAGAAACGGCAGTCGATGACACCGTATTCTCCCTACTAGTTGATACAAGCGAAACGCGCAGAGACCGAGCCCCTGCGGCATCATTACAATTCCCGTCTACGGCCAAGACCGGCAACTCAGCCGCGAGCCAGATCATCGAAGACAAAGAGGAGGACAATTCCCCTGACATAGCAGTCTCATCCATCATGTCAGAGAGACAACAGATGTGGAGCAGAGCGATCACGGCGCAGAACTCAGGAGACTTAATCTTGGCAGAAATGCTCTTCAAAGCGATAGGTCGCATCGGATCAAATGCCGAACCGGATCCTACTCCGAGGAACAAAGTTGATGTATTCGCCATACCGACTCAGTCGGCCTCAGGAGCGGTCATCTACAAAGATACAGCCATAGCACCTCCTTCTGATAACCATCAAGCAGCGGTCCAGAATCCCGAGAAGTTCTACTTGACTGAAGGGGACTTGGTGTACGCTATCGGAACGGTGACAAACCACAACAGTGTCGGTTTCGCTCCGTTTCTGGATGAGAATATTCGGAAGCTCAGATCACCACTCCCACTAACGATATTTAATCGGAAGTGGCAGCAGAGAGCCATGGCACACCATCTAGATAGGCGTCAGAGGTCCGAAGACTCGTCAAGCGACAAAGAGAAAGTCGGCGGATACAAAGGCTTCGCTTTCGTCCAAGAATGGACCCAGACTTACGCCCAGTGGACTAGAAATCACCGAGCTTTCCGCAAAACACTCCATGACGTGTATAAGATAATCAAGTTCTCTAAATTATTGGCGACTCACAAGAATAACTGTGATGATATCACAGAAGAGTTCGGATTCATGGTAGCGTTCCGTTACGACATGGAAGTGAGATCAAACACCTTCTCCCACAGGATCACAGATGAAGACGTGAAGAACGCCATTCCCGATATATCGCAACGCAAAGAGTCCGTTGTGGAGCAATGCTACAATGTTTGCAGAAATTTCGGCGAACTCGAGTGGGAAGAAAATCTATACGCACCTGGCATGTCGCACTCGAACCATGACCCATTGACAGGGTACTTGAAGCCGTCTAAGTACGGCAATTCGTACAACAACAACTATCAAAACAATCAAATGATCCAAAACCCAGGAGCGCATGGCAATTGGGCGCATCAACAACATAACAGCTATCAACCTTACAACCACAACCAGAACAGAAATCAGAACAACACCTATCAACAGAACAACAGCAACGGTCCGAACAGTCAGAGCGGGAATAAATGACCGAGAGGGGGCTACCGCGGAGGCGCTTACGCCGAAGGTTTCCAGGGGAAAAGCGATGGGAACCAAGCTGGTAGGAAGGGAAACCCTAACAAGTAGGTAAAAAAGCAGATCTGCTCTATCCTACTTTCTACCCTTTGCGAGCGTCTATACGCACATTTTCTTGTTGCGAGCGTCTGTACGCACACGTCATTTTTCCTCTACAATGAGTTATCTGTTATGACATAATTTTCCACATTTTGAATTTTGTCTGGGAATCATCACATATGATATGTTTACTACTTGGTTTTAATCCAGGTGTATTTATTTTCGTATTTGAGGTCCTTATGCAAATGTTTGTTTCTTTGTCGGTTATTGACAATTGCCTCTTTGTTTTTGTTTTCTTCTACAATTCTTCTTCTCCTCCATGGACCTTCCTATCCGGATGATAATTCTAAAAACATTCCTTTGCCGCATGATTCCGAAAAAAAAAAAAAAAAAAAAAAAAGGCCAAACATCCACTTACTGAACTGGCCTACGGCAGTAAGATGTGAGATGAATATTGAATGTTGGGATAAAGCACTTCAAAAGGCAGGCATCCGGTACAAATACCGGGATGTGGTTACCGGTTTCAAACACGGTTTCCATCAAGGAATACCGTTCCATCGACTGCCTGATCTACCCTGGTTCACACCAGAAAATCATCTATCGGCAACGTTGGCGGAGGAGAAGATAATACTGTCGATGAAGAAAGAAGTGATGGCAGGTCGAATGTTTGGACCTTTCTCACATACAGAAGTTGCATCGAAGTTTCAATTTTTTAGGACGAGCCCGCTGGGGGCGGTAGTGAATGGAGATGGTTCAGTCCGACCAATCAATGATCTATCATTTCCGCACGGAAACCCCGAAACGCCATCAGTAAATTCTTTTGTCGATAAAGATGACTTTATTACGACTTGGGATGATTTCAACACGGTATCATCATTCTTTAGGTCTTTGAAGGAACCAGTGAAATTGGCTTTATTTGACTGGGAAAAAGCCTATAGACAAATTCCCACGCACCCATCTCAGTGGCCGTACCTAATGGTAAAAGGGATGGACGGCAAGCTATATCTCGACACAAGGATTACGTTTGGTGGCGTAGCCGGTGTAAGACTCAAAAGTGGTTGTGAAACCCTTTTGCTGAATGGAGAAGGGTATGTTGGAGTTGCAAGCTCTGCCCTTCTATACTATCAGAATAACAAGACCACCAAGCTTAGCTTGGCAATTTTATATATGGTGATAGGGATAAGTTCAAGATGAAGCTGCCGATTGATATGTGTGAGGGTATAAAGATGTTATTGACTGTTGGTTATATTGATGAAGTTGTTGTTGATGAATATGGTTCAGGGCACTTTTTGTTTATGATGATGATGAAAGGTTAATCGTATTCCATTATATAATTGTGAAATGTATGTGGCTATGACTGTAGTATGAATAATATATAAGATGGATTATTATAGGTGGTGAGATGATCTGGTCCACTGGTGGGATGATGGTCCCCTGGTGGGATGATGGAGGGAACAACTGGCAGGCAGAGGCCTCCTTATATAGACAAATGTGAGGGATTTTGGCCCCAGGGTACAGGCTGAAAGATACTACTACAAAGGGATGCATATGAATGAATAAAGGGACGCATATGTATGATCAAAGGGATGCATACATGCAATATTACTAATACAAAGGGATTCAAAATAACGTAAAGGTATTCAGTTTACTACAAAGGAATCCAGTATGCAATATGCATCCTGTATTCATAATGACTATGGCTAGAGTGAAGAATCCAAGAAATATCCCGCGACAGGTTGAAATCTGTGTAACTTCTAAACTATAAGAGATAAAGGTATGGTTGTAGTGGGTGACTAGGGGTTATTTTACCTGAGGATTCCATTTTTGATGTCAATTTGACCATATCTTGAATGAATAAAGAGATAATAAGAAATTTTTATATTTTCTGCGTAGAAACACAGTATTATTTACCACATCCTCCCCCAACTTATTGGCTGTCCCCAGTCAATTCTGATTCTGACTGTGTTTTGGAGCTAATATTACAACTAAAAAAGAATAATTTTGGCCGTGTATTGTTGGGATTTATCTTGAAGCGTGTTGAGTATTTGGTGAAGTCATCCGTGGAGTTTTGATTGGTGAAGAATTGATGAGATTTTGTTACGTAGTGTTGATTTGTTTCAGAGTTTTACTTGATCTGTCCAAGGGTAGCTGGTGGTGCAGTTGATTTGTGCAGTGTCTTCTTTGAGTTTGATGAGATGGTAATTTGACGCCATACTAGGTTGTGAGTTCGATTATTTAGTTGTTTGGACTCAGTTTTATCCTTAAGGTGATAACAGTAAAAAAATTCCAAGGTGTTTTTGACTTAATCTTAGTAGAAATTGGGCCAGATGAGGGTTTTTGAACCCAATTTAAACTATGATTTTTCTGAGTTATGTAATGTTTTTACTTATGGAATTTTTTATAAAGTTAAGAAGAAAAAAAAAAAACCATGTTTTTCTCGGTTTTATTTTATGACCTCAAAAAGATTGGGTGCACACAGTAGGTGCAGATGGGTTAAGTTATCCAAAGTTGACTCAAGGTGGGGCTCAAACTCTGGTCCGCAGCAGGTTGACCAGTTGCAGCCCTTACTGTCTTGACTATGGTGGATTTGGAAGCTGAATGATTTGGATGCTACATGCTTCGGGTCGCGCTGGTCTTGACTTTCCCTGCCCTGTCTGCCCTGTCACAGCTTGTGACAGGGCCCGATCGGTCTTGGAACTCCGCTAGTTCCTCTCCGTGGGTCCTCTCCGTCCAAACTCCCTCAGCTCCTCAACCCTTCGACTTCCGACTATCCTCGACGATTCCGACTATTGACGATCCGATTATCCATCCCCGCAGGTAAGTGTCACAATTCCTAGTTTCTAGTTTCTAGTTTTTTTTTTTTAGCTAATTTCAAATTAAATAATCTAAAAAAACTATCTTCTTGTCAGAGAGTTATCGATCGGTTCTCTACTAGCTCCGCGGCGAGTTTGCGGATAGCTTCACCATCCTAGGTGAGTTTCCTTTTTTTGTTTTCCGTTCTTCTTCCTTTTATTTTTGGTTAGTCTCGTGTAGCCTCTTAGCTGACGATCGTTTTCGATCCTCCTTCCTTTGTTTGTTAAGTAGCAGTCAATGTTTTAGCCTAATCAATCCTGGATTCGTGTCGCTTCTCTTTTGTATTCAAGACCTCGTCATTTTGAATAAAGGATGCAAGATGGTCCTCGATCGTTCGAAAAGGAAGTTTATCGCCGATGAAGTCGCATCAATGGATATTGTCGAGAAGTCTCAGTGTCATCAGGTTAAAGTCGAGGGGGTCCTCATTTTCTTATAAATACCACCAACTCGTTGTCGGTTTCTTTTCCTCCTCATCAGCTCCTCCTCCTTGATCATGCTTATTGTTGTGCTTCCGCCTTGGTTATCGTTTCTGTGCGGAAGCTCCTAGATTGAATCGCAAACATCCAGACGTGGTCCTAGTCGTTGGTCCGAGTAAATTTCAATCTGATAGCGCAAAAGTACTTGATTATACCGGTTTCTTCTATACCACTATTCCACTGTTGTCCTAAAGCTCATCGATATTGACTGATTGTCCTTCTCACTGTCCTTGAGCTACATCATTGGTCCGAGAAAAAAAATCCAGAGGCTTCGACCGAGTCGCATCCAGTTCAAGACCTTCATTCAGTCAGGATAAAATTGTGATTGCTCCTACTCTATCCCAGGAATACCTGGTTGATATAATCTAATGTCCCGGCAAGAGAAAATAAAGGAAAAAAATGAAAGATTTTTTTTTTTTTTTTTTTTTTTTTTTTTTAAAAAAATCCAAGTAAGATGATGAGTACTGTACCCCTCCCCCAACTTATGAGGTTGTCCTCAACCTTCAAGATAATGGACTTGAAGTGAGTCTAAGAGTAAGTGATTAAACAAAAGTAAGTGATTTGAATGATTCAGAGAATAAAGAGAAATTGAGCAGAGAGATGAAGAGATGAGTGTCTCTTGGCTGAAAATTGTAGAGGTAAGGAAAAGAGAAAAAATTGAAGAGAGTGAAAATGTGAGTCAAGTATGAAATATTCCTCCCCCAACTAACTTTTAACTTTTAAAAAAAACTGATGAAGATGATAAGTAATTGATCGAGAAAATTGATTTATTGAAAAAATAAACCCAGGCAGTGATATGAGATAATAAAGAAGAAATGAAACAGACACTGCATCCAGAAAAGAGTTTGAGATAAAAAAATTGATATGAAGTAAGAAATTGATAAAGAGTAAGGAATTGATCCAAAAGACTTTGAGATAATAAAGAAACTGATAAAGAAATTTGATCCAGAAACAAGTTTTTAGATAATAGAGAAACTACAAGAGAACTTCAATCCAGAAAGAATTTTGAAAAAGAAATGCAGTCCAGAGAATAGTGAGAGATGATAAATAAAACTGATAGAGAAATTCAATCCACAAAAGACTTTGAGATAATAAAGAAACTGATATATAAAAAAAACTAATCAAGAAAAGACTTTGAGATGATAAAAAACTGATATAGAAATTTGATCCAGAAAAGATTTTTTTTTTTTTTGATAACAGAGAAACTACGAGAGAGCTCCAAACCAGAATTGACTTTGAGATAAAAAAAACCTGAGATAGTATTCCAATCCAGAAATGACTTGGAGATAATAAAGAAACTGATATAAAAAACTCAAAAAATGACCATAAAAAACAGGATTTAATAAAAAAATACCAAAGGTGTGTTTTGGATGAGATACTTAAGGATAATGAGGTGGGTTAATTTGGGGATAGTGTTAATGTGAGTAAAGTATGAAAGTTTTTCTCCCCCAACTTCAAACATTTATGTCTACTGAAAGTCTTTTATTTAGTTATTTTCTGTAAGTTGAGGATTTAGCTAATTAATTTTTGCTATTTAAAAGATTTTTTAGATATTAAGCAAGCATTTCGATTGATATGTAAAGGGATAAAAGAGCTATGTAAGGGAGGAAGGGTTTTAAATGAGTGATTATTAAGGAATGGGGGGCTCCTCCCCCCACCTTTTTTTTTTTTAAAATTATTAAGACAAATTTTCAACAATTATTTAATGCTCCTTTAATTTAGTTTTCCATGAGCTCGATTATTTGATTTTGAAGTCCAGATTTCTTGAAGGTGTCTTTTCAATTGGTTGAAATTGTGAGTCGTCCAAATTCAAAGTTCTTGAGAATTCTTTTTCCAATCCGAGTATCTTGTTGAATTAGGCTGATTTGTGGCAATTTCTTCTGTGTGACTATTTAGTAGAACTTGAATTATTCAAAAAATATGTATAACTAATTCTAAAAATTGTGCTGATGATCCTCATTTTATTTTGTTTTTATTTTTCTTATTTAAGGGAATGTGACTTTTAAAGTGAGTGTTGGTTGATGCAGTTTTTCCTCATGCCTAGGAGGCTTTGATTTTTACAAATTTTGATTCCCACCAGGTTTTGATCTTCACCCGTCAGAGTTAATACCATTCACACTCCTCGTATACATCCAGTGTTGTGGGTACGTCTTCATTTCCATCGTTGATTGGCACCAATTGTTCAATTTTTAATGTTTTTCATCCGTTCCATTGTTCATTCTTCCGCATAAATCAATCCAGCTGCTCTGCACGCCATCGTTGATTCTTCCATCCACAAAATTTGTCCAAGAAATCGCTTATGAAACGTCATAAAATGATTTGCATCATAGAAGAGGCTAGGTTCCGCAAGGATTTGAGTTGGCCATTGGCTTTTGGTATACAAGTGGCATCGTAGTTCCTAATTTGAATTAAAAGCTGAAGATGATCCCGAAGGTTGATCAAAAAATCGGTTCCTAAAAGGGGTTGATGGTGCAAATCCGTCTTCCAAATCTGGTGTACTGAACGGTAAACTCATGTTGATTGTGATTGATTTTCCTAGTTTTTCTTACTTAACGCTCCTCGGATAACTAAACAAACGGTTGCTCTGAAAAAGAAACAAAATAATACTATGGTCTCTGGTCTCTTTACCAGGGCAAGTTTTATGATTCTCTAAAATAATAATTCAATAATACTGGGAATTTCTCCTTCTAACAGGATCTACTTATCCAAATCCTTCGGTGGTCTTCCTTCTTTTGGTCAATAAGCAGCTGCTTCCTTCGAATAGTTCCTAAGTTCTCTTCAAACAGTATCCAAGTTATCCAAATCCTTCGGTGGTCTTCCTTCTTTTGGTCAATAACTGGCTGCCTCCTTCGAGATACTCGTTTTCAGTTGATGGTTACACTTTCTTTTCCAGAGGTTCGTTGATTGTTTCGTTGAATTGTTTTATTGAAGTTTGACTAGTTGATCAACAGAATAACTGAATATGCCGTTGAGTTGTTACAGATATAGTTGCTGAATTCGTTCCGTTTACCGCTAAAGTAATGATCCTTGGTCGATGTCTTCTTGATTATCTTCTTGTTTCGTTTAAAATTGGTCACACGATTCCAATCAGAGGTTATCCTATCACGTTGGGGACTCCCTTGTAAGACTCAAAAGTGGTTGTGAAACCCTTTTGCTGAATGGAGAAGGGTATGTTGGAGTTGCAAGCTCTGCCCTTCTATACTATCAGAATAACAAGACCACCAAGCTTAGCTTGGCAATTTTATATATGGTGATAGGGATAAGTTCAAGATGAAGCTGCCGATTGATATGTGTGAGGGTATAAAGATGTTATTGACTGTTGGTTATATTGATGAAGTTGTTGTTGATGAATATGGTTCAGGGCACTTTTGGTTTATGATGATGATGAAAGTGTTAAATCTGTATTTCAATTTATATAATTGTGAAATTGTAATGTGGCTATGACTTGTAGTTATGAAATAATATATAAGATGGATTTATTTATAAGGGTGGTTGAGATGATCTGGTCCACTGGTGGGATGATGGTCCCCTGGTGGGATGATGGAGGGAACAACTGGCAGGCAGAGGCCTCCTTATATAGACAAATGTGAGGGATTTTGGCCCCAGGGTACAGGCTGAAAGATACTACTACAAAGGGATGCATATGAATGAATAAAGGGACGCATATGTATGATCAAAGGGATGCATACATGCAATATTACTAATACAAAGGGATTCAAAATAACGTAAAGGTATTCAGTTTACTACAAAGGAATCCAGTATGCAATATGCATCCTGTATTCATAATGACTATGGCTAGAGTGAAGAATCCAAGAAATATCCCGCGACAGGTTGAAATCTGTGTAACTTCTAAACTATAAGAGATAAAGGTATGGTTGTAGTGGGTGACTAGGGGTTATTTTACCTGAGGATTCCATTTTTGATGTCAATTTGACCATATCTTGAATGAATAAAGAGATAATAAGAAATTTTTATATTTTCTGCGTAGAAACACAGTATTATTTACCACACCGGGTGTGGATCTTTTGGTAGACCGGCGGATGCGTGGAAAGAGATAATGGCATCTGAATTCAATCTTGTGAAAATCTTCAGGTGGGTCGATGATAATTTATTCGTCAAGAACCTCACATCGGAAACAGAAATGAAAGACATCATAGCAAGATCGGTCAAACTCGGAGTCCTGACGAACGAACAGAAATGTTCTGTATTCTCAGACGAACAAAAGTTTATCGGTTTTTTATTGAAATGGAGCTCCCCAAAACCGTGGGCGATTACCCTCAGAGAAACTAGACCAGAGGAAAGCGCAGATCTCAGTCTTCTTGGACAAATCGAAAAAGTTTTCTTATAACGAGGTCGAAGTTCTGACAGGGAGGCTGAACCACGTGACGTATATACTACCTCAGCTCAGGTGTTATCTTCGAGGCCTCTACAGATGGCTAATAGATTGGTTTGATCTAAACGCAAGACGATACACACCACAAGACGTTTTTGATGACTTGACGCGCTGGTCCGAAACATTAAACACTTTCAAACACACCAGACTAATATCGTCAAGCGAACCAATTGATATCGGATGGGTCGGGGATGCATCCACAAGTTTTGGAGTAGGGGTGATGATAGGGAAGTACTGGAGCCAACTGAAAATTTTGAAGGAGCGGAACGTCGACCTACCAAAACGTAATATTGCTTGGTTGGAGACAGTGGCAGTCAGGGTTGGTTTAATTATGTTACAACAGTTGAACCGTTTCAAGAAAGGGTCCAACCTACTAGTCTGGACAGACAATACTACGACTGAATCCGTCATAGAAAAGAGGAAATCAGGCGACAAACATGTCAATGACGAGTGGAAGATAATACAAGACCTGCTCTTATCAGAGGAAGTTGATTTAACCGGAAAGAGGGTGAAATCAGATGATAATATTGCAGATAAATTGTCGAGAGGGGAATCTTGTGGGCTGTTGGACTGCAACAGGGTCTTGTTTCGGATTCCTGACGAATGGGTCCCTTATTTGTGTCACACCTGAGAGGTGTTCTGATTGTTCTGTTAGGATATAATCCCTTCACATCTGTTTAAGAGATCTGTTGTTACGCATTTTTAGTTATTAAATCTCAGAATATTTTCTTTTCAATCATGTTAGATAACTCGGAAGACATAGTTATAATTGATAATGAAAGACTTACAGTGGGTCATTTAAACAAGATAAAAGCATTTGCAGCAAACGGTACCGCCCATTACCCTATATCGACACTTAACGCACATTTACTTAGCGGATGGAAATGGAATACTATCGTAGGGTACAATGCGGCTGTTAAAAAATTCATATTTTTCAAAAACCTGTCCGGCAACCATAACTTCAAGTTACCGGCGTCGGACAAAGATATTGAAGACTTCTGTTTTTGGGCAGGACGAAATTTGTATCTAAACAACTCTTATAAAATTTTGGCAGGATCTATTAAAAAGTATCTTTGCGGTCTAAAAGCCTGGCATACTTTTCACGGGGTAGAATACCCAGACGTATCGGACAAACGGATAGAACTACTACTGAAAGCGTCCTCAAAAGTCGATGCAACATTACCAACTAAGCCGAAGAAGCCACCGATAATGTTGAAACACCTGATTTGGCTGTCGAATGCATTATTCCCTGGCGGCGATATCGACAGAACGATTATGGATCTGGCAATCGTCGCATTCTGGGGAATGGCTAGAATTGGAGAATTCACATACGAAAACACTCTGGGCGATCTCAACAAGGAGAATTCGATTTTAACGTCGGATGTACGAATCATCAAATCAGCTATTGGAGAGAAAGCGATTTTGACTGTTCGCAACGCTAAAACGGCACAACCAGGGAAACCACAACAAATCATCGTACATAGTTTAAACAACATGATATGTCCTGTTTTAGCGATTAAAAGAAGACTAGATGAAGCGAATGGTAACGAGACGTCTTTATTTGGTTTTTATCGAGAAGGCACAAGACGTCACTTAACGAGGACGATTGCTGTCAACAGGATCAAATTAGTTTTACGAACAGGAGGTTTCGAAGGCCTACTCGGCCATTCCTTCAGGGTCGGAGGCGCTTCATTACGCTACGCATTAGGGACACCAGTAGAAGAAATATGTCTGTTAGGAAGATGGATATCAAATTGTTATAAGCTTTATATTAGGGAATACTCGGATGAAGATACACAAGAGAGTAAAAGAATTATATCAGAGCTGAACGAGTTGTGGGAAGAGGATTAATCTTTGTGTCAATTGTCTTGATAGATTGGAGATATAGGTTTTTGCACGAGGCTCAGGCTCCTATCATCAGTAGAAAATTTACACCTGAGTTGATGGTGTCTTTGTTCCTAAACCTATCTCTTTCATTTTTCATTAAAAAAGACAAATTAAGATCTTTTTAATACACATTGATTATTCCACGTGGTCCCTAAATATTTCTGATTCTTAAATATTGGTCAAAAAGACCTTGGGAAAGTTTCTATAATAATATTTAAAGAATTAAGATTTAGTTACCACCCACACTCTGGATAGGTGGAGGAAATTATTTCCACGCCTAGCCTAAGAGATGACACCTTATGGTGCATCTCTGATAAGAGTACCACAGGAATGATTAGAGTGCTTAATGGATGTAGAGCACCTGACCAAGGCACTAGGAGAAGGTGCTGGGATCCATGTGCACGGAAGGATTGTTTCTCAGGCGGAGCCAAAATAGTTTTTTGGCCCAGTCCGAAACAAAACTATTTTGGTTGCGGAATTTTATCATTGAGATCTGATAAAGTCTCTTTCCACCCGCCGCAACATAGCTCCCTCCATCCGCAACAATCTCATTAATCATTCCAAAACACAAACAAATTTACTAAATTATTATCATTTTAAATTTTTTCTCTCACCACCCACCCACCCATATGGTTTAGGCAAGGTGTCCGTGTCTTTTGGTGTCTTTGTTCCTAAACCTATCTCTTTCATTTTTCATTAAAAAAGACAAATTAAGATCTTTTTAATACACATTGATTATTCCACGTGGTCCCTAAATATTTCTGATTCTTAAATATTGGTCAAAAAGACCTTGGGAAAGTTTCTATAATAATATTTAAAGAATTAAAGATTTAGTTACCATCTCACACTCTGGATAGGTGGGAGGAAATTATTTTCCACGCCTTAGCCTAGAGATGACACCTTATGGTGCATCTCTGATAAGAAGTACCACAGGAATGATTAAGATTCGCTTAATGGATCTGTTCGTCCATAACTCATCCAAGCGCGTGCGTTCTGACTTTTGGTTTTCCCGATCCCCACCCTCTCTTGTTCTTTTTGCCGTTCTTCTTCTTCTTCTAAAACCGGATAAAAGGATTCGAGCATCCTCTGTTGTTTTTCTTGCACCACGAGCGCCCTCATCTTCTTGTAAACCACATCTGAGAACACTTTTGGGACATCTTCTGGCTTGCTGGCTGTGATCTGGAGTGTATCAGTCTTAGGTTCAACCGAATCAATGTACATCAGAATCGATTCTACTCGCAGTCGATCCTTTTGCAACACCGATTTGCCTGCTGAAAATACCGTCTTGTCAAACTTGAGGATGTCAACAGGTTCTTTGACAACTATTTTGGTTGGCTTGCTGATTGCTTGGGTTTCTATGCTGGGTAACACTGTTGTCCTGTCAAGATTCTCTGATGATAAACCATTGTTCCATCCTTGCCGGGGGATGATCAGATCCCTATCAATTAAAGTGCCAGAAGATAAAACTTCCCAGGCATTTCCATTTCCTGTATGATTCTGATAATTGATTTCTTTATCACGATTTGATTCCAGGTTTTTTCCTCCATAGATTGGATTAGTGCCATGAATTTTTTGTTGATCATCACATATAAGGGAAGGCTCAATATTTTGCCTTGATGAGCTTTGAGAAACAGGTATAATGCCGGCCCAGTCAGCATTTTGTATTGAAGTTTGTGCAATATCCATCTCATTTCCAAAATCAAATGTGTGGGAAACCCCTTTCATTGGGGTTGATATCTTAGGGGGGATGGACAGATTGCTGGATGCAAGCCCAATTATGTCATTAACAGTTAAAGAGTTCTCAATTCTTCTTCTTTTTCTTGGCGACATGGTATCTTCAACACTTCCAGCTAGATCTGGATCATCGTCTTCATCTGAAAGGCTTCTTGAATTTTCCAAAAATTTCATTATAGCTTCCACACCAAATTTGGTTGAAGCTTGACCAATTGATGGTGCATCCAGTGATCCAGGTAGAGGATAGATTCCATTAGATGTAATATGTGAGGGATGGTAATTTAATTCAGATGCTTCTTCTGGATGAATCCAAGGAATACATTCTGCCAGCTGGTCCCATTGTTCAGATGTCATTGATGTTTGCATTGCAGAAGAGGAAGTGGAGATTCCATGGTCCCTGGTCTCTGGCAGATAATTTATCCTGTTTTTTCCTTCCAAGTTGCAAATTGCGGTTGAGTCTTGATTTAAGAGGATTTCTTGATCAGAGTATTGGTTATCTGAGATCTTGTTAGGCAAAAATAGGTCCTCAATTCTGGGAGCTTGATGAGTATCTGTAAATCCAAGGGGATAACTCAAATCATCCAATTCCCACATTGGTGTTGCTGTAGCTTGATAAATCATACAAGCTGCTAAGAAGACAAGGAAAAGTAAAACATGGTCCATAGAGGCCATCATGAGTAATCTTTGAGATTTTTCAAGGATTTGAAATTGTTTTTGTTGATGGTTTTGAGTGGGGTTGTGGATCACAGAATATTGGGTTTCATTTGGACTACAAACCTCCACATGGAGGATCTCAGTAAATTTTGATTGAATCCTAGAATTCCTGTCCAGCTATCCCTTTTGCTACAAATCTTGAGGATTTTGGATTCAGTATTGTTGCATGTCACATACACATAATTACCTATTCCATTACACTCTTGACATTACATAATCTACTGGCTGTCAAACATTATTTTACTGATGGAAAAAAAGACAAATATTTTCTGCTACTACAGTGCCCTCCCAGATGTACATAGCCAACTTGTTTGGATTACACAACCCTAACCCACCAACTTGCAATAATGAGACTTGGGCAAGTGGTAATATAGAAGAGGTTTCAAAAAATGATTTTGGAAGCAAAAATATGAAAAACTGATTTTTAAAATTTCCAAAAAATATTACAATTATAATTAGGGGGTATCAAATATAACCAAATCCACCATTAATAAATTGACTGGTTTGAAAAAATCCACCCTTTTTTAAACATGTTGGTTATCCATTTAACCCCTTTTGGGGCCCATTTATGCAAAAGTTTTTGGATAAGTGACTGGTTTCTGATGGCAGATTTCCTATATTTGATACCCCCTATTGTACTTTTTTCAAAAGTCTCAATATTGCTCCAAATGAAAAAAAAAAAAAAAAATGGAACTTGGAGTATGGACGTATGCTGGAGAAATGATAATAAATGAAAATTATGATAAAATAACTACCAGATGGTTTTAAACTGGTGTGGAGGGAGACATT